GGTAATAGTTTTGTAATTTTTTATCCAAGAGAGTGTTGATAAATGGTCTTTTTAAATGAAGAGTGAAATACTATAGAATACAAATTATTAAATGGCGTATTAAACTGAAATATTTACGATGGACAATGACTATGACCTAATACTACCGATATACCTAGTTTAATTTATTTTTAACTGCGTTTTGCTTAAAAAAAGTTTTTCTGGCCGTATATAACACAATAAGTTTGTTCAGAGACTTAATTCCACAGACATTCGCATGCGTTGGAGGCTGCATGATATATAGTTCGTTTTGCGTACTGACTACTGATGGAGACAATAGGAAAATCTATTTTAAGTCATATGTATCATGCACAAATTTTTTTTTCTTCATATATACACAAATCATAAAATATTTCTATAAATAGAATCATTAAGCAGAAAAGCGCTGCTCATTTCTATAAGTAATCTCTTATGGCATATAAAATTAAAGTACACACTTGGTGTAAGCTGACTGCAAATAGGCAACAGCGATTTAGCTATTCATAATTTTTTTTTTCTTTTTGTTAGAAAATACGACATAAAATTATCGTCAGCATTGTTATTCAAAGGTGCAGAGACGCGATAAAAATCAAATCGCTATTGAGATCGATAAGCCGATTATCAAAGCAATAAATTAAAATTGACTATAAGATTAACTGGAATTAACTATGATTGGTGATTAAAAGATAGTAATGGTTTCAATGAATATCGTGGAAGTCATTTGTGACCGTGAGTGGGGCCGCCATCTTGATTATTACGTGACTACAACAGACGTAGACCCGCGATGTGCCAGTTTATATTGTTCATCGCAGCACCGTCACCATCGGATGTTCAAATTCTCTAGACTACGAAAGAAAAATCCGATTGGAGCACCACCTACCGGATCCAAACTAAACTATCCAACGGGTCCTTGGACTCAAACCTAAAAACCATTAAAATCAGTCCAGCTAGTTACAAGGATATCAGTGACAAACAGAATACTCAAAAATAAGTGAAACGTTCCACAATGCGACGATTCATCACGTCACGTAACGTCACGTACTGTTCGTTGATGATAATTTGTAAAAAAAACATACATACATAGACAATAATTAAGATAAAAAACCTTTAAAAACCCTACAAATAAAACAAAACAAAACAAAACAAAAACTAAAAAAATGTTGAAAACAATAAATGAGAACGCTTAATCTCAATCACAATGATACCTCATTCGATTCGGCTCAGCTGTGGCAGTGAAATTTTAAATTTATTTTTAAGTTACGCCAAAAAACCAAATATAATGTGTTCTTTAACGTAAAACTCAGATGTAATTTCTTTTATTTGACTATAAACTGGATTATGACACTTGCATCGCCTCCTATTATTATCCGCCTTATTCATTTTTTATTCCGGCTGCGAATTAATAACGAGTTCCGGTTTGGAGTTGACACCGATTTTACTATAAAGCAAAAAGCAAAGCGGTGCCGGTTTTGACCTTAGATTTGGCGATTGACGGCCGCAAAATAAAAATCTAATGAGCCCTTTGCAATACAGATAGTGTGCATAGTGTCGTCGGTTCTATTCCTGGTGGGGTCGTCGTGCACCGCGGCGCCGGGGCTGGCTGCGGGGGCTGCGGGGGGGGCGCTGGTCGGCGGGCTCGTCATGGCGCTCATGTACGTCGGAGTACTGATGAATCTTCCATTGCACGGTGCACAGGTTTGGTTGTTTACGGTAGGTACCCCGGCCGCTAGGTGACGGTGTTATTAGCCATAACATGCGGCATGATACCGACCTTAGAATTAAGTAGATCTAAAATATAAGAATACATAAGGCCGACCTCGCTGAGTAGTTATTGTTGGTTGTTCTCAGAATTGTGGCTCTTTTTGTAACTCGTGGTAAAGTTCATCTCAATCGTATTTTATCCGATTAAATCAAAATCTGATAGCTATTGATGGCACTTCAGTTTTCGAAATAGTTTCGCCAACGGACGGTAGGTGGCGCAAATAGTTTCATGAATTGGGTACATGACAATTATTGAGTTAGCGAGATTAAGCGTGATCGAAACTTAGTTTTAATTATATTGATTGATATTTATATAGTATAGATATAATATATAGATAGTAGACATACGGCCCGTTTGAATGATAGTAACCGTCATTCATGGATGTCAGCAATGCCAGGTACATAGCCGAACCGCTGCCTACAGTGGAAGACTGCATGCCTCTTTTGAAAAAGGATATGTTATAGCGCTATGGATATACCGTGGAGGGAAGTTTATTCCAAAGTCAACATTCCCGATCCTGCGGACAGAATGGAAAGCAGTCGACGTCGCCCCAAACACGTCATTTCGGATCCTCCCGATCCACTAACGGTGCTTTTAGGTACCTCAAGCACCGGTCATCGTCTTCGTCGAACCCGTCTCTTGCGACGAAGGGCTCGACGAGTAAATTAACCCTCAGACACAGCCCACTGAGTTTCTCGCCGGATCTTCTCAGTGGGTCGCGTTTCCGATCCGGTGGTAGATTCAGCGGAGCACGGCTCTGCCTAGGGTTCGTGTTAGCAATGTCGTCAGGTTTGAGCCCCGTGAGCTTACCTACTAGTTAAGGTTACGCTGATATGGCCTCTCAAGGTTCTCAGCTAGGTAGGAAACAAAAAAAAACAAAGACCCATCGTTAGATCGTTACCCACAGATATAGGCTGGACTGTGGTATCAATCCATGTAGTATCTATCACACGCTCTGCCAGAGGATTTTTTTGTTAATAATAAAAAAAAATCATATTACATTTCAAACTAAATAAAATAAAATATAAAAAAAAGAAAAAAGCAAAAGGAGGTGGCTCAGCTAATGCTGTTCAAGGTCGATAAATCGAACAGCGCTGATACTCAGTCACCCCCATTTCCCTTTCGATCGTTGCGAAAATGAAGGCCAGGTTGTTCTATTGTATTTTTGTATTTTGCAGGACATTTTGGTTTCGGGAGTGATAGGTGTTCTGCTACTCGTCGCTGGGGCTCTCAGCTTCACAATCTGTGATATGAGACACCCTGTCGATTACGTGCCGGGGGTAAGGCCAATTGAACTGTTTAGATCCTGATCGCCCGCCTGAGAGCCCGTGTCGTCGACATTTCTAGTACTTTCGTTTTGCGTAAATGCGATATTATAACATCGTAAAGTCGTTGAATAGATACATATCCAGTGCTTCATTTGCACGTGCATCGTGGTTGCCAAGTCAGCTCATGTACGAACTATAAGTCCCGATTCCGTCAGCCGAATGATCGCCATTGTATAGTTTGAGTCGGAACTTGATTTATGGCACTAATAGCAGAGTTAAGTATGTTAGAAACTACTAGGTAGGTACTGACTACGGCGAGATGGTCAGGGCCTTCTGAATAACAGTTGGGTATCAAGTGGGATCGAGTCAAGGAGTCTAGTAAGATCTTGAGATCTTGCAAGCTGATGTTTCCTTCATATACAGGGTGTGAAAACGTTCCCAAACACTAACATAGCTGGTTAAACTTGTGGTTCTAACACATTACAAAATTACATTTTAAATTTATTTTAATATTGGTTTCCGCATTGCAATTTTTTTTTATATATATTTTTTTTATTGCATAGATAGGTGGACGAGCTCACAGCCCACCTGGTGTTAAGTGGTTACCGGGGCCCATAGACATCTACAACGCAAATAAACGTAAGACGCCGCAACGCCACCTTGAGATACCTATAATTTCTAAGGTCTCAGTATAGCTACAACGGCTGCCCCACCCTTCAAACCGAAACGCATTACTGCTTCACGACAGAAATAGGCGAGGTGGTGGTACCTACCCGTGCGGGCTCACAAGACGTATTACCACCACTAAATGTAATGTAACAATAAACAAATATCTAAAAATCGGGGATTCTACGGTCTCAAGAAACGAAGCGCCAAATAACATCTCCTGTACGCTGGTACTATCATGGCTCCGAACAGTTGAGCCGCAAAATCTTGCTACCGCAATTGGGCTGCGATGCTTACTACTTTAATACCGCATTATAGCCACTGGCCGTAGTGAACGCTGGCATGGTGACGGCGAGCACCGTGAAGACGTACGTGTCGGTCGTGGGCTGGCACAACGCGCCCCCCGCCCCGTCGACGCACACCCCCGCACACGAACTCGACGTCTAGTCTTGCCTCATTTGGAAACAACACTTATTATTAATATGCCCTCCTTGTAGCAGTTCGTATCACTTCTTTTGGGCAAGTTCAATGGCAGCGGTAGGCACCGGCTTGGCTCTGCCCCTGACATTGCTGAAGTCCATGGGCGACGGTAACAACTCACCATCAGGTGGCCGTATGCTCGTCTGCCTACAAGGGCAATAAAAAAAAAAGCTGTTATGTACTCATTTTCCCTGGAATTTGTATGTCCATGAGTATACTCAAAAGCGGTGAGAAGGTTTTTCATTAGTAGCGACACAGACAGCGTTCAGAGTAGGTTGTTTGTCAGAGTGTGCTGAAAAATAATAAAAGCTTTGTGGTACCAAATTATTGTAGTTTCATGAGAATGTTTTAAAATGCAGTAATTAATTTTAGAGATGTCCATACAAATGAAATAATAGATAGTATTATAGATAGTAGCTTAGAAGCTGGAACTGAGTCTATCAATTAGTTCAGTCAATTGAACTTTAAACAAATATGGTGGTGTTTATATATTACTAATCATACATCATATTTTATGATCGACACAGTATGTGTAGCTTTTGATACAATTTTAATGAAAAGTATCAATTCAGACATCCATTTAGAGCTGATTTATTTTTTGTCAAATTTAAATAGAGTGTAAGTTCATTTATTGTCGTGCTGATTTTGGTTGATTTTTTTCTAAATCGTTTTATATCTGTTAATTTGCTTCCGTTTTAATTATTAATAAGTATTCTTGAACACATAAAAAACCATTAGCGTAAGATAAAATAAGAGTGTAATGTTTAATTTACATTGTCAATTGTTCATAAAATCACTATTGTTATATGAATATTCTTATTAAAATATGTAATTATTATTAAGACTAGTTTCAATTTGATACTTTATTAAATACTTTGCTACATAATTGTTTATACTTTATTTGTACTTTGCAATATACGTACATTAATATTTTTACAGCACCATCACCAAATTACATATCAAAATTTGAGATATAAACTTTATTTCGAGTATTTCAATAATCAACTTGCGATGAATTTCACTAGCTACCTTGTAATGCAAAATATTTCAATACAGATTCAACTAAACTCTCAGCTTTAGGTTTTGCTGCGACTCCAGCTATTTCCACACCAAGATTTTCAATTTTATGGGCTGTTGAGTTGCCAATAGCAAAGTGAGGTAGTAAGGACAAATTGTTGCTAAATGTCTGTAGTTGTCTGTGTATGTATTCACAACCTGACGGACTAAAGAATGCCAAGCCACTTGGACTGTCATTCAAGTTATTCAATTCCATTAAAAGGGCCTTTAAGTTTTCATTCTCTTGTGTCTCATACACAGTTATAGCATCTAATGTGATTCCTTCAGATTGTAGCATGCTGGGGATGGTCTCTGATCTTAAATTGCCACACGGAAACAGAAATGTTGATGTTTTTTTCTTATCTTTTAGAATAATTTTCGATAAATTTTCTGCATTACCTGCTGTAGCCCCGAGCGCGTCCAAACCTAGTAACAATTTTATTTTTTGAGAGCTCATCTCTCCAACTGTGTACACATCTTTCGAGTTCCAAATGACAAATTTTGTTGGGTCCCAACACTTTGACACAGCTTCTACAGCTCGCGGGCTGGTCAATATCATCCCATCGTAATCGTTTTGCAGTAGTTTCTGACTTAACTCCTCTATGTTTATGTAAATAAACTGCAGTGGCTCCACGAATATTGTCTCAAAGTTATTTTCTCTAAAGATTCTTTGATAATCCTCAGACTCACCTTTGAATAGCACTATTTTCATCATCGAAAATTCGTTTTATACTTTTGTTTTTAACTACGTTGTAAATGAATAACTTTGGCAAGGCTTATTTTTGTCAATTCTAATTTGAATTGTTTATAATTATTTGTAACGAATAAATTTTTTTCCAACAGTATAATTTTTATTGGTGTAAAGTTTTTGAAATTTACATGACTTCAATTAATATCGTAAAATTCAATTCGTTCAAATTCAATTCATTTAAATGGATTTGTTTTTAAGTAGGGAAAATAACTTTCAAAGTTTCACCTTCATGTTTGAGTTTGACATTTTTGACAATTATGAGTAAAGTTCATCATAAAGGATCCTCTTTTATTGTGATGAAAATGAAACATCTTCTTTATATTGAAGGGCCATCTGTGTTCTCTTTATTTAAAATTGAAAGCTAACGGTATAAAAAATGATTTTGAAAAGTTTGTGTAAGTTAATTTTACGTAGAACGAAACAGACTCCCTGTAACACCTAGCAAAGTTACATACTTAACGACTATTTGGGATCGCTCAATTTAATTCGCACTCCTACACCGTACTAGTTCGCTCATTTATTTTGTTAGTTTTTTAATCTTTCAGTAGATCTAATAAATAAATAAAATATGTAAATTTAGGACTATTACGAAATACTGTTTATGTTTACTTAAAGTATTACAACGAAGTTTTATGGTGATAAGTGGTTACCGGAGCCCATAGACATCTACAACGGTTCGGTTTGAAGAGCGAGGGAACTGTTGTACAGTTAAAAAAACGGAGACGTTAGAATTCATGTCTCGAGGTGGGTGGAGGCATTTACGTTGTAGATGTCTATGGGCTCCGGCTACCACTTAACACCAGGTGGGCCGTGAGCTCCTCCAACCATCTACGCTATAACAAAAAACATTAAATTATTTCACTAGAATTTATCGGGTAGTGTGAACGTTCTTTTTCATGTGGATGGTTGTTTTTGACGTTTCCGTTCCGTTATACAAAGAAGAGAACACGTTAGAGTCGTGTTGGATAATAAAATAGTATGAATCTAAGATGGGTAGGTACATTATAAAATGGTAATTAATCCTTTAAATATCATAATCATGATAGCAAATTTAATTCAAATATTAAAATTTGCAGGTATTACGTGTTTAAAAAATCATTGAAGAAATAAATATTTTGTATATTATTGTGATCAAGGTTGGCAGCAGCTCGGCTTTAGATCGCGATGAGTTAATAATCTGTCGAGCGATGGTTATGACTTTTATTCAGCGGAACGTATTACCGTTCACCTTAAAAAGCAATCTTAAGATTTTCTCTTGAGGTTTCTTTTATTTTGTTCCCTTATTTGCAACATTCAATAAGATGACAGACCAATGCCCTGACAAATTCACTAAAGAAAAATTCTAACGTCAATAATAAATAACAGTGAAATTTCTTATTTAAGATTGTACCATTATTCATAACTTTGGACTAATTTGTTAAATTTAATGATAATTAGGCATGTGCAGACAGTGTAACGTTGTTTGGTGAAAGTGACACAGTTCGCGATGGCTTTAGGCGGATGTTCGAGCGGTTTGCTTGTAACCGCACTGCTGGCCCTGGTTCTATTGCCGGCTCAATATTATGTGCCCGAATATTACTTGGGAGTGGATGTTCCATTGCCGATCGAGAAAGTGGCGCCCCCTAACGGTTTCATCGTCTGGTTGGATAAAGCGTTTGTACATTTTCCGCCCTTGGATCTTTTCTTTACGTTATCCCTGTTGATTTTGGCTATTGTCACTTATCTGTACGAGTGGATACAAAGGAAACTTATGGAGAGGAGGATTGCAAAGGTGCTTAATTTTACTTCCAATATTATTTCAAAAGCGTAATGGTGCTTTATTCTTTCGCATAGTTTTGGTTTAGCTATCCAATAGCACATTCTCTTCATTTTTTAATTAGGTTTAAAAAAAACATTATTTTTTCATTTAAGAAACAAGTTACACAAATAATTTGAACCTAAAAATATTTAAATAGAATATCCCAGGTATCCTGCCTATGCAAACTGGGAAGGTAATTTACATATACATTTAGCATGACGAAGTAGACCCACGACCACCACCACCACCACCACCACCCATCAATACGTGAGAGAGATTTGATAAGGAGCACAAGAACATATCGTATGAATGTCACTTTCTATCGGAGTCTGGTGTCAGGCCGGTTTGGAAAATGTCAATGATTAGTCCCTAATAAGGATTTTGGATAATTTAACAATGTACTGATATTATTTCCAGTTAAACAATTACCTGGTTGCCAGCGTGGAGCGGCTCCGGGTCTGGGACGCGCAACAGGAACAGTTGGAGACCACTTTGAAGATGGTACAGAATGCCACGTCCGAATACAATCTACTTTTATATTTGTTGTTGCGTCAGCATCGGTGTCTCGCCACCGGCAACAACGGGCCGCCTTTCAACTGCTTCTTCGACAAAACAGTTGATGATGACCTTAGTTTTTTGAGAAATCCTATTGAAACGTGATCTGAGCGATCGTTTTGTGCTAAAATATAAATAACAGAAGTTTTCAAATTATTCTTTATTCTTTATTGTACACACAGTTAATACAATACAATAGTTGCGAAAAGTTATAAAATGGCGAGCTTAATTCAACAATTGAGTCATCTACCAGCTAACCGTTCGTAAAGAGGGAGAGCTTTACATAAGTGGGTAGAAGAGTACAATCTAATCATTTTACTTATTTATACAATACACAATAACAATAATAATAAAAAAAAACACTAATACATAATATATCACACTATATCCTACACAATTACACACATAAATAACATAAACATATAGATACACGTACATTTACAAATTATAATATATGTACTCTTAATTTTTTTATTACGAAATTGGTAATGGTAACTCTTATAGGATTCTTTACCATCAGAATCGCGAGGATGCCTCAGTCATGTCATGGAGACATGGCTTAATCTCGTTTTAATGATTGATTGAAGGAATTTCTAATAGTTTGTATGCGATCGGACGTTTGCCTACGTTTGGTGCTAGGGTCTCAAATATATTAAGTGTATAATCTATGTGCTAGGGGCGCTGTTCCAATTACATGCAAATTTGAGTTAACTTTTACGCTATAGAGAACGCTAAAAAACTCACACTAAGCACACTGAGTATTAGAACAAGTCATCGATCCTATTTTAAAAAAACTCAATTAAATTCGTTTCATAAAAACAGTATGGACATGCTTTATGTGTATACTTTGCTAACAGAACAATTATTTCAGCCAGTATTAACACTTCAAAATCACAATCGAAAATTATATAATATTAAAACACAATGTAATACAATTATCATTTGAAGCGTGGGGCCTACCGAGGTCCACGTTTAAACGGCTTCACGCGATAACCCTTGTTTCCTGAACTTAGAGAATTGATATTCATGAATTTTGTTTTCTGCTTATGATCAACTGAAATGTATAAAACGAACCTATATAATTATTATAATATGTACATATGTGTATGTGGTTGCGTGCTGGAGGCCTGCGACCTATGCCCTCGCCAGCTGCCCCTCGTTGCCGGTGATCCTGCGTTAATGTTGAAGCATTATATCTGATCTAATCCGCGCTCGAAACACACATTTAATAATTAATTATAGTGTTGACATGTTTACGGTTCTATTTTATGTGCGTTGGCTGCGAGATGTGAGCCGCGTTGTGTGTGACAATAAATATGCCAGCGCTGTGTTGTTGACTCGGCCAAAGCGTTGCGTTTTGTAACATATTATTATAGTTTTGGTTTCAGTTTGAATTTTGTAGTTGATGTATTTCGTAGGTTAATACGAATGTTTTGAATTGTTTGATTATGGAGTGTGTGCTTGTAATTTTTAAGTTTTATGCTATATCCGAATTTAATTTAAACAATGTGTGCTTGTATCTGTGTTTGTGTGTGTAACAATGGTTTTATCGGCCTCACATCGTACGCCATACAGAGCTTTCATTTAAGAGATGGTAAGATCGCTAGGTGGTATGTAACGTGTTTTCAGTTTTATGAAGCCAGGACCACGTGAATTGAGTACTAGAACACTTTTAGTTGACAGTCAGCTAGTATAGACACTGCAGATGTCACTTTGTCAGCGTAACTTTACAAGATTTAATGCAGAATACACTCAGAATAAAGATGAAACCTTAATTACATGATAGCAATATGTTTTATGGCTTGTAATGAGGCTTAGAAGATAGCTAGGAGTCTTTCAGCATACAGGTTAAGCGGAAGATGAAGGACGAAGATTAGCAGAGGTACGTAAAGCAGTTTGTTAATGGCACGGAAACGAAATGTTAAAGTAGCGGTGGCGTAGCTGCTGCAGCACGCGGCTGCTGGGAGAGATTTATGATTTGATTGTTACGCTGGTAAGATTAATGCCATCTATCGCCGAATAGCCGAACGAATATCGAAGCGCCTAGAACGCTCGAGAAGCACAACGCCATCTATTGACAGATAGCGGAAACTACTACTAGAGATGTGTGGAATAAATGGATGTGGATAATTCTAGGGATGAGGTACCGGCTATAAAGGCGTTGTAGAGATGGCACGCAGTCAGTCAGTAATCGGAACTACTCGAAGCGAAACAGCGAACAGATCACCTGAAGCGAAGCGGAACAAGCGAATTGAGAGTTTTAAAGTGTTTGTGAAGTGTTTAAGTGTTCTAAGTGTTGAATACAGCTTTAAGTTGTACTGTTTGTTCACCCACTTTGTCGTATTTAAATAATAACTTGGATAGTTTTATAGAATTTATTAAACGTAACTTTTTAGACAGAAACAATCTGTATAAATTTTGCAGCGGTAATGGAGGGAAAAATGCAATGACACAGATTATACCGATAAAATAGATTAACCAACTCAACATGTACTTTGGTGAAATTTTATTTATCCCGAACCCCAGCGCGTAACATTATTATGTGCTATATAAATATATCACAATGTTTACTGTTCGATGTCTCGGTATACCACGACAGCTGCGTAGAAGTAATGATAGTACCATTATTCATCTAACAGACCGGCGAGACAGTCGCTAGATCGTTGATAAGCAATTTAATGTGCGAATGTAAAATACAATGTCTTTGTTCACGCCGTTTATCGGGAAACTTGACTCGTTATATTCAGATAGGTACCTATATGAAGTGTTTTATGTATTACTGATATCGATTTGTTTGTGTTAGAGCTAGAACTCTTCATGAAACTGTTTAACTGGCTTGTAGCGTAGCAGTGTGTGTCTATGTATCTCCCAGATTAGTGGGTTCGAAGTAAAGCATATAGACCATGTTTATGACTAATTATAGTTTGCGTAATTACTGCCTGCCTGTTTTCTGCCGTGAAGCAGTAATGCGTTTCGGTTAAGCACTCATCCTCTCGTGTAACTAGGAGGGCAATAAATAGTTTGAGCGCAATATATACTAGCAAGATCCAGGCTCAATTAAAGCGGGTACAGCAGAGCTACGCACACGCTGGAGTTGAAGCTTTGCTTCCGAAGAACAATCTTCCAGTCTTGAATGTATTACAATATTTCGATCGGCACTGAAGGAGTCGGAGAGCGCAACCTGAACGGAATATGCTGTTGGTCTACTGGACCCAGTAGAATTATTTAGTTAAATCAAAACAACTTTACGCTTTAATCTTGCGTTTATTATGTTCACTACATATTGCTACGCCGGTAAGAGTAACGCCATCTATCGCTGAAAAGTCGAACGAATATCGAAGGATCTATTAGCGCCCAGAACGCTCGAGAAGTACATCGCCATCTGTCGACAGATAGCGGAAACTACTACTAGAGATGTGTAGAATATTCTCGCTAATTCTAGGGATGAGGTATCGGCTATAAAAGCGTTGTAGAGAGGGCACGCAGTCAGTCAACATTCGGAACTACTCGAAGCGAAACAGCGAACGGATCATCTGAAGCGAAGCGGAAGAAGCGAATTGAGAATTTTGAAGTATTTGTTGAGTGCTTTAAAGTGTTTGTGTAGTGTTTAAGTGTTGAATACAGTTTTTAAGTTATACTTTGGTGATATTTTATTTATCCCGAAGCCTCAGCGCGCAACAATATTGTCGACACACTACATACATGTTGCGAATACTTTACAGTTATCGTCGGTCGGGCGGTCGTCCGTGACAACTAAAAGCAGTTTTAATATAATATTATGTACCTATATGACTCACGAAAATCGAAGAAAATACAACAATTAGAATTACTTATGAAATTATTAGATGTACAAATAAGTTTTCGCCGTTTTGAGAAAAATGGCGTGGCACGAGGTTTACGTTCGAATTCACAGATGATAATCGGCTTGAAAATTAAATGATCATTTAAGAACAACATAACCCTATCGTATTATTAACTCCGTGTTAGCATCAAATATATTTTTTTATCCAAAAATGTCAAAATTTGAGCCAAATAAGAGTCATTTGCGGGAACTTTTAAATTACTTTTTTAATTTCAAGAAATCTGCAGCCGAGGCGCATCGATTGCTCGTAGAAGCATAATATAATGAGGCTGCCTTGAGTGAGAGAACATGTCGTGAGTGGTTTCAAAAGTTAAAAAACGGTGATTTTGACGTAGAAGACAAAGATCGCAGTGGAAGGCCAAAAATTTATGACGATGCAAATTTGACGGAATTATTGGAGGAAGATTTGTCTCAAACACAAAAAGAACTTGCACTTACTTTAGAAGTCACTCAGCAAGCAGTTTCACATCGTTTAAAATCGTTAGGAATGATTCATAAACAAGGTAATTGGGTTCCATACGAATTAAAGTTGAGAGATGTTGAACGGCGATTATGCATGAGTGAACTGCTGCTAGCTAGGCACAAAAAAAAGTTTTTTACATCGAATCGTCACTGGTGATGAAAAGTGGACACATTATGATAATCCAAAAAGAAGAAAATTATGGGGACCACCTGGCACTTAATTGGGAAATACTACCTCACCCGCCGTATTCACCAGACATTGCGCCGTCTGACTATCATCTGTTCCGGTCAATGGCACATGCTCGGAGCAGCGGTTCACATCATATGAAGATACCAAAAATTGGGTTGATTCGTGGATAGCCTCAAAAGACGAGGAGTTCTTCAGACGTTTCTTTTTTTTTTATTGCTTAGATGGTTGGACGAGCTCACAGCCCACCTGATGTTAAGTGGTTACTGGAGCCCATATATCCACAACGTAAATGCGCCATCCACCTTGAGATATAAGTTCTAAGGTCTCACGTATAGTTGGCTGCCCCACTCTTCAAACCGAAACGCATGACTGCTTCACAGCAGAAATAGGCAGGGTGGTGATACCTACCCGCACGGACTCACTCACAATAGGTCCTACCACCAGTAAAAAACGTGGAAACCGAACTCCGCCTGAGAGATGGGAAAAAGTAGTTGCTAGTGATGGACAACACTTTGATTAAATTCAAATTACCGTTCTTTCATAATCAATATTATTTTTTCGACAAAAAACGGCGGAAACTTATTTGTACTC